AAAGGAATACCAAAACATCATCTGTAGCTCGATACTTTTTAAAAACGATAAATAAAGTAAGTACCTCATAATTGACTACAACGACATTAATAAATCACTGTAATCAAATGAAAATAAAGTTATAGAAATCCAGATAGTAGGCTAGCTGTCTGGAAAAAATTCATTGAAAAATTCAGTAAGCTTACCTGTTTTACGACTTCCTCGAGTCTCGCCGAAAGTCCTTCGTTTTTAATCGTTTCTTTGGCTTTCTGTTCGCTCAGGCCTATGGCCTGGAATAAGGAGATACGATCTGACATGCTAGAAAGTTTCGTTAGTCTAGAAATCCTGTAGAATTGCTGTGATTTTGACGACAAACTAACTGCTCTTCCGAGAAACATGCGGTAGAAGTAATAGCAATGGAGAAGACTGCTGACTTAATGGTACGACGGGCCAGGCGTGATGCAATCGGTCCAACTATATTGAAATAATAAAAGCCTAAAAATAGCAATAAATGCGATTTGAAGACGAAAATACCACAAGAGAAATTTGTTTTTATTTCTTCAAATCAAAGATAGCCTATTTACAACCCATGTATATTTTCTTATAGAATTTTGTGAAACACAGGAATCCCAAAGGTAAATACGCAAATTATTAGGCCCTTTCTCTCTTTTTTTTTTATTTATTTATTTTTTCATTTGTTTCTGTTTGTTTTTTATTGTGTCTTTTGAGTTTCTCTGTTTACTTCTTTGTTGATTTTGCTGTATTTGTTTTTTGTTTGTTTGTTTGTTTTTGTATTTTGTTTTTATTTGTTCATCTTTTTAGTAGTTCTCTGTAATTTTTTGCAGCTTTATTCTATTTCTTGTTTTTAATATTCTCGTCGTTGTTGTTGTTTTTGTTGTTGTTGTTTCTTTTTTTGTATTTTTTATTTGTTTAGCCGCTGTTGTTGTTATTGCTGTTTCTAGTTTTTATATTGCATAATACACACTTTGTATTTGGCGGGAACTAACCGGAAGCGAGTGTCCCAGCTGACCTTACTACATTGTGGTTTCTTGTCAAGCCGGACGTGCGTCGTGACGCGCATTTCAAACTGGATTTCATCCTGATAAACCTGATTGTCCTAAGTAAAAACCCAGAAGTACAACCTAGCAGAACTCCACGCTCAACACACAGCAACGATTTTGAACTAAAGTGCTTTTACAATGTCGAAACCCGTTATAGGATATTGGAATGTTAGAGGGGTAGGTAAAATTGCTAGTGATTTATGGCGAGTACACTAATTTGTACTAGCAATTTTTTTTAAGCATACATAAACGATGAATATTTTGGGGCCAAAGTCGAGGCCAATCTTTTTGGTTGCTACTRCTCGCTTGGAGACACTTAGAGCTCCAGCTAGCTATATCCTCTGGAGAGTAATCAAAGCGGTTGCAATCTGGACAAAAACATGGCACCCATGATCTTTTTCCACATCAAGGCCCACAAAGTGCTGTTGACCCCCGCCGTACCTTAGGTCTGAACTATTTCGAAATAGTCATAAAAATTTTCAAAAAATGTATATATAAATATTACACACTAAATATTCCAATTATCACGGCTCATTATTTCAATATTTTCTTTAGAAAATGTAATTTTATTTAAAATATGATTTGATTCAGATCATGGGTGCTTTGGACCACTCTCGTGGTACGAAAAGCAACTTGTAGACTAGTGATTCGATTGGAGTATACCAGATTTAATATAAAGTAGGATTTCACCCTCTTTTTATATTAAACATGAGAATCGATGTGCTCGATAAATATTTAAGTGTTTTAGTACGCGTTTAGTTCTTTTCTTCATTAAATATTAACGATTGAAAAATGTTCTAACATGACCTGGATTGTTTGCTATGTCAACTTTGGTCACACAATACACCAGCTCGACTCGAATGCAGTGTCATGCGACGGTATCTTTACGAGGACAAGCTGCTCGCCGTCAAAATAAAACCATAAAAATGATTTTTAAGGCAGAATGGGAAATGATGTTGTATGCCTACAATATCAAAGCGAGTAAAATATATAAACAAAAGAAGGATTTAGAAAAATGTTATGAGTTCGCTCGATTTTTCGTTGTTGTTGTTGTCAGTGTTTTTGTTGTTGTTTTTCTTTATTCTTTTCAATAGGGTCGTATGATAAAATGCTTACCAACTGAGTAAGGTCAGTCTGTAGCAGGTCAGCCTGTAGCAAACTACTTGGCTGTCGGTAACTTGTTCCCAATGTGTTTGCTCTCCCACATTGAGCTTGGACCCCTATGTGGTCCCTTTTAGGGTAGAAATGTCATCATCTCACAATAGAGGTCCCTTTTAGGGGTCAATTTCATAATCTCCGCCGAGGACCCCCGCCCTTTGATATTAGGGAGTCCCCCCCCCCCCCCCGGTATGTGACCTCACTAATCAATCCATCGCTTTCTTATGGTTTACTAAGAGTGCTAGGAAGACCAATAAAGGGCAACACAATAATATGATTTTAATATTTTAGATGGCAGAASCTATTCTCTATCTTTGTGCGTATACCAAGACCGAGTATGAACTCCAGGACTACATCACGGGAGAAGGTAAGAGACTAAACCGTTTTGTTTTTTTTGTTTTTTTTTTTTTCATTCTTTTTTTTTCCTTTCTTTCTTTTGTTTTCCTTTAAATTACGTTTTTATTTACTCCCATCTTAATATCAGAAATTTGATATTTAAGTATTTATTGTAGTTTATATTGTTTTTGTCAGGACCTGAGTACAACAAAGATGGATGGCTTWCCGTAAAAGAAAATCTCGGTCTTTCATTCCCCAACGTGAGTTCTATTTTTTTCATTGCTCCTCATCATCTTTGTCTAGTCACTTTTCCTTTCTCTCAACACGTTTGTAACCTATTTTCCTTTTTTTTCTTTTCACTTCACTTTTCTCTCCTTCCTCATTTCTTATGTTTTCGTTTTTTGCAGCTACCATATTACAAGAAAGATAATATAAAAATTACGCAAACCTTGGCGGTAAGTTTCTTATATACTTTTCTTTAACACTTCGTACAGTATATAGTATTATGGGCGGATTTTTGCTTAACAAAAAACTTTTTTTTTATTTTAACCATTATATAAAAAAAAGAAGAAGACACCAAAAAACAAAATAGCCCTCAAAACACATCTGATTGTCGACGTTTTTATATTTATAATTTGCATTTTCAATTGAATATATTAAGATTAAAGTTGATGAAGCAAGCCAAATTCCCGAGAAAAGCTTTCGCTATTTTTGTCGGCGATCCTCACCTGAGACCTCAGACCTCAGACCTCAAATAAGGGACGGTCCATTTAACTTTTACAATTTTCACCAAAAATAAAAATCGTGCACAACATATGGACCTAAAAAAAAATCTTGCACCACCCTAAGCCCCAAAAAAATGTTACATGCAAGAAGAAAAAAGATCCTACACACCACCAAGAGAAAACAAATATATCCTACCCAAAAGCCACGAAGAAAAAAAAAATCCGTTGCTCACAAGAATTCATCCACACCCCCCCCCCCCCCCCCCTCCCTCAAAAGTTAAATGGACCGTCCCTAATGCTAATTTTACTTTCTATGTTTCAGATATTACGCTACATAGCTAGAAAACATAATTTATGTGAGTATCTCAATTGTTAAATGTATTAAAAAAGGATCTACTTCAAATATCCACTCGCTATCTGAGCACCTACATTTGTTTGTTTTAAGAGCGAATTTTACAATATATAACTCGTCTCATAGAGCATATAAAAGGGATAATAAAAGGTTTGCTTATATAAATTGTATTTTTATTTTCTCACATACCAAAAGCACCCAGTCAGTTGACCAAGTCTCTATCAGTGAACTCCTTATCACGAAAGCATTTGTATGGTCAATGCAATTGCCCTATTTCGATAACATCGTAAAACGATCTTCAAAAACAATGGCAATTTGGAACCATTTATGGTGACTCCCGAAAGTAGAACTTCAATACATCGTGTTTTAAACTATACATCAAGTATATAGTTGCTCATGCGTATTAATTTTCTTTGACTTTGATACGTAGTCACTCTGATCCCCTCTGACGACCAGAATGTTTGATGTGACGTCATAATGAATCAGGGCAATTAACGCGTGATGCAATCGTGCTCACTTATCTCAATTTACACATTGTTGTCTAAATCTCAGCCATCTACCGCAGTTATACACTTTGACAACKTACATTGTTTTCATTAGGCGGGAAGACCGAGGAAGAGATGGCTCAGTGTGATATGGTGTCCCACGAGGTAAKTAAATATGTAGTTCGATATAGCAATGCAAGGAGGGGTGGCACGTTTTGGAGGGAGAGGAGACTGAAGCGGGGCCATAGTGTGTCCTTACAGTAACAGAGTTTTTTTTAACTAATACTTGCGATTTAGATCCACAAAATAATATGCATTTAAAGCCCTTTGCATTTTTCAAGATCCCATCAATTCCTTACTTGTCAAAATACTGWTGTCCRTTTCTTTGCAGGATTCGGAAGCATACATAAWAAATGGCGTAAAAAWATCWATATACCGCAATCGACTATAACGCGCATGTTCRMGCKGAATGTTTTKATAGAATAGAAGCTCGCCTATTTATTCTAKTTGACCGATAATTCTTCGKTTTTATGCGCGCGTCCATKATATTTTTGGAAGCGCCCAGTTCGACATCTTRGAAATCGTCCCTAATTGGGACACTCCTCATTCAAATTCCTCTATCCGCTTCTGAGAATGAGGCATAGGTATACAAATAGCGAGACAAATATAGACGCTAACTTAGAACTAAATGTTCTATTTGTTTAACAGGCTATGGATTTCATCATAGGTTTTATCAAAGCTACGTACTTCTGCCAGAATTTTGTAAGTTTGATTACACCCAGCGCTCAGTTTCCTTGTGCTTTATTAGAACAGACGCGTCTTAGTAATGATGCACTTTAAGAAAAGTAAAGTTGGGGGCCTTGGGTACCAGAGGTTTGTTAAGCCTGTCTCCAATGTGATGCAAGAGCAAAGAAAAAAACAACAACAAAAAACTATAAGGCTTAAAAAAGGAAAGAAAAATTTTGAAGATATGCATTAAAAACACAAAAGCGTACCGTACATGCAATGCGCACATGCGTTTCATTTGCAGTTGCAAACATAACTTAAACATGCCGTAATTAAAATGCTTACAGGATGATGACATCAAAGTTTACTTGAAGAACATCCGAACCAATGTCAAGAGATACGSCAATCATCTTGGTCAGCGTCCCTATATGGCAGGAGAGAATGTAAGAAATGTTTCACCGAAGTAGCCTTCAATGATACACCGACGCCGCTCACTCGACGCTTTCTCTTTTAACTCTTGCAGCTTACATTTGCTGATTTTATGTTCTGGGAAGCAATGGATCAACTTCACACTCTTGATTCGACCGTGTTTGATGGACAKGACAACTTGAAGGTTTTTATTGAATTATATATGCCTAAATGAAAAAATATTATCAGGTTCAGAAAGTCTACGTCATCAAAGCTAAGACCGAAATGGATCATGGGAAGACAAATGATCGACGCGCAACAGTGCGGAGGAAAATCATTTTTACACGAAAATTTAAAAGCAAAAATTTTAACAACAACAATATAGACTAATAGTGGTTTGAGGTTATAAAAGCTATGACTGAAGAGAATAGTTTCTTCCCATCTTCCTCGAATCTCAAATCAATAGCTATAAAACTAGTTTGCCGACAACATCGCGTAGATCGTTCACAAGAAGGTTCAATTCTGAGCAATTCAGTCTTGCCGCAATTCTAGCCCTAAAGCTAAAATTCCCCAATCTAAAATATTAGATATGTACTTATAGTAACTTTTAGCAGCGCTGTTCTTAGGATTAACCGTTTATATAGGATAGAACTAACGTTTCACATTATAAACCTTCGTCATGTTCGACATCACAATGCTCTTATCTTTTTATTTTTCAGGTCTACATGAAACGAATTGCGGTAGGTTTTTTTAGATATGGTATTAGTAAATGCAAAAGTATGGTCTTCCTTATAGAAAAGGGGCAGGAGTCCTAGTCGGAAACTCAGAAAATGATCAATGATTCAATGTGCCTTAACGTGGGATGATGGGCATGGATCTTATGACATTTCACCCATTTTAGGGACTAAACAATAATCTGTCATTCWAGTTCGGTTTCTTAATTTCATTTGTTCTCTGACAGCATAAAACGTCGTTTGATCGTACGAGTTCAGGGGGGTGGGCATCCAGGAGAGTGGAAAATGGGGAAAATATAAGAACAATCGTGAATTCTCGAGGAGCAATCTCCAAGGGAGTTCGAACGAATACTCGGTTCTATTGTATTGATACGTGACGTCATTTCCTTTGTGTATAGGACCTACCGGGAGTCAAAGAGTATCTAGCATCTGACCGTGCAAAGGCCAGGCCAATTAGCAACAAGATGGCTAAATGGGGARTCAAATCAATCCCAAGAYCTGACTTTTAAATGAGTCTCAAGCTTCTAAAGCCCTACAGCTCGACTTGTGAAATTTTGATCAAGTTTAGTCATAAATATTTGTGTTTTACCGTAGTAATAAATTTTAGCCAAATTGATTACTCTAATTTATTGCTTGTGCGAAGGGAAATGTTTATGTTTATGCTCTTTTCTTATAAACTCTGAAAACTGTATAAGGGCAAATTAAAAATGCATAAATCAAGCGCGTCTACACCAAATTCAAAAAGGGACTGGTGACTAGTCAAAACCTCGATWCCGTTTTGAAGYAAWSAAAAAACAGACACCAGGACAAGAAAGASCATACTAAAATTAGTAAAGCTGCYGAGTTKGAGAGTATTCGGATTAATGCCTACAGAGTTTCAAGCGTTTAAAAATTACAAAGAATGTGGAGGTTTTGAGCAGCGTCCCCAAAAACCATACATGCAATTGAAGAAATTCCAACTCTGTGAGTATTCAACCAAATGCTCAAACTTGAAAAGAACTCTTATTTTAGTGTGGTATTTCATGTGGTGAGGTTCAGTTTTCGACGAATGTTATATTTTCACACTCGTTCCCAGTCTCCTTTTGAATTTCGGAACGAATTGCTGTTTCAAACTTCCTAGCGAAGCCATGTAAAAAATTCTCCGTTCCGGTTGTGGTTAATCTTAGTAAGTACGTATGTGAGAGGTAAAATTTTCTGCATGCTTAGATTTTCCCTCTTGTATCCATGGGCTTGCTGTCTTTGTAAGTACTGGGTGATTTGAGAAAATGCGACTAGCCAATCAGCGCAAAGCTGACAAGCTTATGTTGTAAACATAACCCCCCGACGGGAGGAATTTGCACAGCAAAACTCGACCCAGTGGAGTAGGCTGCCTGCCATTTTATTCTTTCCGAAAAATCAAAGCTAAACGCAAAGAGAAATTGAAAATCTTTATAAAATAGCTTTTATTAAATGTCAATGAAATATTTATCGTTATAGAAATAGAATTTTATCTTAAAAAAGAAATAACAAATATTTTTTTTCTTTA